TGTATATATGTGTGTATATATATATATATGTATATATCAACATTCAGATCAGAAACCACTTGTATCTTTCTAATGGTGGTCACTAACACCCACACGTGTGCTCTGCTGCAGAGTTTTTAGGAGAACCTGGTACAGATGCTCTGGCCGGTCTAAATGGTTCAGAACTATAATCAAAGTTTCTATCCTAGACTATAAAAAGCCCAAACGGTGTACGTAGCAGCATATAAAAGGAAGAACGATGTTTGTTTATCCACAGAACGATTTTCTTGAGAGATTATGGTTTTAATTTTCTTTTTTTTTATTACAACATTACTTTATATCATTTTAACATCTCGACTAAACATTACTAGCTTTTATATGATAGTTTTATAAATATGTTGCATCTCGTAAAGTTTTGAAAAAGCTGAAAACAAATAAAGTGCAACAAACTGTTTTTTCTTTTTCTTTTGAGACCACAAACGTATAAATGAAATACTATCGGCAATATAGCTCTGAGCTGTATTTCCATCGCTGCACTGAGATCTGCACAGCTAGCAGCTCCACACAGATGTTCTCACGTAGCACACAGCTGGAGTAGAAGCCAATGCAACCACTGTATGTGGACTAAGAGGCTACACACACGTACATTACGTCTCCTGGGTGCTTTTATATCATATCTTACTGTGTGTGCAAGTGTAAAATAGTTATACAGTATATGTCTACATATATATAATACCGTAGCTTTAATAAAGACAACAGTACGGCCCTTTTTTTATGGGCCCCTCTCGGGGTCTCTGCTGAAGCAAGAAGCCGTGTTGCAGAGAGGACAGAAGCTGCTGGTTGTGTTATGAGAGGATCTCCCGCCTGCTGAGGAGTGAGCAGCGCTGTGCTGTAGTTTGTGAGTTCAGTTTGTTTATCCTGAGGTAAAACATTCTGTGCAATGCTTTAAAAAGAAGAGAGAGCGGTGACTCGCAGCCTTCTGTCTGGTTCAACCCACACCAGTGTGTGTGTGTGTGTGTGTGTGTGTGTGTGTGTGTGGGGAGACGATGTGCACCGTGAGTACAGTTTATCTGGTGAATCAGTGAGGATGATGCAACCGTGTCTCCTGCAAAATCAAGTTCATATGCAACTATTCAGCGACTCCGTAATTTAATTCTTTGATGAAGCGATTACCTCATTAATCTGTGAAATGTGTAAAAGAGAAACAAAGAGATTTCAATATACAATATGATAAAATAGGTATATGCACCGATCAAATAACTGGACAAGGTATTTCATTCTTAACTATTCTAGATAGATAAATATTAATCTATAACTCAACCAACTTAATCAAGCACCTCCAGGAGCATCAAGTCAAAGGATTAAAACCAATTCAGAAGATTTTTGACAGAGTTGCTTGTGTTTCATTTATCATTTTAATAATAAATAACAATTCAGTAAATACCTACGATGTCTTTTGTTGTATTTAGTTTAAGAAGTAAAGAGTGTTGAAGTCACATAACAGAATGATGCCCGTCTCCTCCACACAGCGAGGCACAGAGCTTATTAATCATATCTGATCGGTGCATCGCTCTAATAAAACAGAGCAGAGCTGGAACCAGCAACGTTTTGGTATTTTCCTTCATGTTAATCTGCACTAATGTGGCAGAACAGTCTCTAATAAATCCTGCTCTGAAATTGTAATGTATCGTGATATTTCATTGGACTGCATTATGTTATTAACAATTCTGCTCCGTCATGTCAATACGTAGGTTCTGTTAACAAAATATTTAAAACGGGTTTCAATATAATGCATTCAAACACAACATCATTTATCGCAAATATAACTACAACATGTAGCAGAGAACTGAGTCGACAACTTCTAACAGAAAGAAAAATTGTTTTACAAACTGCAAAACATTTAGTGCTAACTTTTATAAAATCATCTGTAGTAAAAAGGGAACTTCACCAATTTTAGAAATTGAACTGAGTTGACTAGTAGCGATGAGAACACTTAAAGTCTTCTGTGATTCCTCCAGCAGCCTACAAGATGAATCACTGTCGAGCACGAGAAGCGATGCAAACAGCTTTAAACGTTGGACGTGTTTCAATGAAACGCAACATGACTTTGTCCCTGAACGCAACCCGGCCGGCGTTACAAACCCTGACCGCCGATGTAGAATAGTTGCATATAAACGTGTGGTTGATAGGTTGCAGGAGACAGAGCCGGAGTGTGAGCGTTGTGAGTCCAAGACAAGAAAATCTGACCTCTGAGCTGCTTTACTCGGCATGCTGTCGTACCACAAAGTACAGCTTGTAAGTGCACAACAGTCGGGACACTCCGAGGTTTTAAAGAAAGAAACAAAAAGCAATCGGAGCAGTGCCGTCTTTGAACTAAGAATCACCGAGGCATGTTAGTCAGCGTGTTTAGTTTCTGCACGTCAGGAAAGGAATTAGAATCAGTGATCGGCGTCAACCTGATCCCACCTGGTACGCTTCCTGTTTGTCAGGTATATATATATATATATATGTGTATATATAATAAAAACTAAGAATGCCCCAGTATATTCTTAGTCAGATGACAGCGGCCTGCATACACAAACCTCTGAGCATGCATCATGCGTGCTGCAGTAGGCTCACATTGGTTATGGTGACACAGCACCCATATACAGCAATCAAGATAATGCACATGTGCATAAAACTTTCCAAAAGGAAAAACAAAAGCACAAAATGAATACAAAACAAGAGCAGACCAATGATGACATCAAATAGAGTTGTTGTAGAAATATCTGCTTGAGAGGGTGTCGGGGGGGGGGGACCTGGAAGCTTTTAGTTTGATTTAGCGCTCCACCAAGGACCGGGCATTTGCTTGTTTTGCGTTTGTCTTTTGTTAAAGATAGTTTGTTATTTGTTTGTTGGGGGGGGGGGGAATGTCTCTGTCTTTTCTCGCTTTCTTTCTTTCTTTTAGTAGGGAGTGAAGCGACTGTACCCTCCTCTGTATAGGCTAGCCTGCAACATCAAAGATGAAAAAGTACCAATCAGTATTCAGGTGACAGCTTCAGTCGCTTTCTCTTTCTCCACAAATTTCCTTCCTTTTTCCCCATTCAAGTTATTCATGTGGGTTTTCATATCGGGAGTCACGGCTTCCATATGGGAACGATCACGAGGGGCGGTGGGTTTGATATGTTTAAGCCAATAATTGGAGTGTGTGTTAGGAACAGGGTCATCGGGAGTTAAGCTGGATTGGTGGACGAGGAGCTTAATTGGGGCAGTTGATAAAATTGAATTTTTAACACAGTAGCAAAGCAATGAAACACTGGGCCTGGGCTCACGTACTTCCTCTCATTAATCACATTAAGAAATTAATACAGTGATATTGTGCTTTCTTCCCTTTTCAGGCTGTTACAATATCGAAGATTCAACCAAAGCCGCAGAAGTTGAGAGAGGTTTAATCTCAGCTCCTTTTATCAGTCTAGTGGAGGAGTCTGCTGGGGCGGACCACCACAGGATATTAGCCCTTAGATTTAGCACCATACTCCAGATATCTAGGGCACACACACACACAGAAAGCATGCAAGTGGGCCTATGCATGCACACCTGCACACACACACACACACACACACACACACACACACACACACACACACACACACACTCCCTCCTCTCATCTTTCAGTAGCTCTGCTGCAATTAAGAATTCAGACAAACTCCAAAGGCTACTGAATGTCTTCAAAGGCTAATTTTGCCTAATTTCTGGGAGCCCTCTTGCTTGTATGAAAACTTTCATCCATACGAGACGCTTCTGCGCGCTGGAAATGAGTAAAGAGAATTTCCAACCTCAACCTCAGAGGAACTAATTATTGTATAGCTTTAAAATGCAAAAAAAGAAAGAAAAAGACTCCTCTCTGCTGGAGAAGCATTAATGAAATATGATTTAAGAATTAGAAACCAAACTGGTCTTTTCTCTTCAGCCCACGAGTTGTATTCAATGCTGGCCTCTGCACAGTAGCCCCGCCATTTGTTCAACACCACACGACCCCCCCCCCCCAACCCTCTCGAGTCTGGCTTAGCTCCCTGAGCTCCCAACACACACAACTTTAGCTCTGATATTTTTAGGGGCCAAATCCAGTCTGTCACTGAGAGGACGATCAAAGTGTCGGAGAAATGGAAGGAAATTTGGAGGAAAAAAGAAGAAAGAATAAAAAACATTCAAACACATTTTCTTTTTAATTAAGTAAATGAAGAGGAAAAAACAAACAAATGTCTTAATTAATGAAAGCTTTTAGCTAGCAGCTGCACCGGGGAACTGTTCGCCTCTTTTTTTTTTTGATGTTATTGAAAAATCGCATGCATGCCGGAATGGTAAATTTGAGTAATTTCTCGAGCAGAGAGCTCGCCTCCGATCAAGCTTGTGGGCAGGAGGGGAGGGCGAGACAGCTCCCTCCCTCCGTCCCGCTCTCTCTCTTTGTTAACGCCCCACGGCACACTGCTGCATGCGTTTGATGGTCCTCAATCTCGAGCTTTTTGGTCTGTGAGCCCGGTCCCATCCCCTCATCACGGTGAAACAAAACCAAAGAGAAACTAAAACAAAAAAGACGCTCTTTTATTTATCGTGACTTTTCATCTTTGATGTTACAGTAGCTGCAAAAGCTAGCTAAAAACAGACATTAAAAATTCAACTTCATCCCTTCAAGTTTGGTTTGGCTGAATGGGAAAAATAAAAGTGATCCAACTCACTCTGTAGCGAGCGGAGTGATGTAGAATGAACAGAAAGCGCGGAAATGTTAAGATGCAAAGTTTATGTTAAAGAAAACAACAACAACAACACAGCAGTAATCACTCATTGTCATTTCAGGAGGAACTCGCATCAAATTAATATTGCATGAGGTGGCATAACATGAGTTTTGTTGCATTAAACGTCTGAGCCAATTTTCCACATGCCGGGGTTTTGTTCCAGTACCGCTCAGCTCCACTAGGATGCGCCACATAGCATGACAAAGAAAACAACAAATCAATGGATGAATAAATAGATAAATAAAAACCAGCGACCGCTGCAGTCTCTGGTCTTTATTTTGGAGTGTGAGTCTTGTGTGTGTGTGTGTGTGTGTGTGTGTGTGTGTGTGTGCTACAGCTCGTGTCGTGATGTTTCAGACAGGGTGCAGACAGAAGGCGGCGGCGGTGGTGGCGGTCTCATGGACTTACCATAGTCCCCACACTGTATGTGGCGGCAGGGCCAATCGTGTGGTGGTAGGGGTCTGCTGTTGCATAGACTCTGCCATAGCTGCACAACGGGAGGCACAGAGAACACGGTCATTGATCTATCATTGACGAGGGGGGGGGACATTTATGCATGCTTGTTTTAATGCACAACCCCTCAAGTCAACTTCTTTCAAGTCTCTAACACGATCAATTCTTTCCCTCCTCGGCCTCCTGGGCTTCCGGCATTGTACAAGGTGGTTCAAAAAGGGGAGTTCAAAGGTTGGCGAATTATACTTGTCTTCTCATTGTCATCTTGATGAGGTGGATGGAATAGGTAATGAGCAGAGGGAGAGAGGGAAGGATGCAGAGGAGGAAACAGAGCTGGAGGGCTCGGTCTTGTTTACCGGCTGCACACTGGGCTCACGCCCCGTCTTTTCATTGTTGCTGGTTTGGAACTAATCCTTCCAATTTCCTTCTGAGACAGGACAAGATGTGTCTGCCTCATTTATTTATTTATTCGACTTCACATATATTCCTCTATTTACTTTCCTTTTTTATTTTTTTCCCCCCCGCCCCCCCCCTTCAATGCTCGCTTGCAAATGAGGGTCTGCACGGAGCAGATAAGGCACACCCAGCCAAGGACTGAGGGCACCAACTCAACCAGGAATAAAAAAGGAAAAAAGAAAAAGTGGAGAGAGGAAGGAAACTCTCCTAAAGGAGACAACAAGACATACGGCGGTTCTTCTGTGCACGAGCTACATTGAGTTCTCTAAACACGGCTCGGTTCGTTTGAGTCCGGCAGCACCCCCAAGGTCAGCGAGCAGGACGTGAAAAGCCTCGACTCCTTGGGGAGGAGGCCGGTGCCGTGAGATGGTCGGGGGGGAAGTCTCCGTGGTCCTCTTATCTTCAGTGAGCACCGAACCCCACAGGCCCTCTAAGGCTAATATATCTACCAAATGACTCTCGCCAGAGTGGCACTGCTGACGACCGGCCGGTCAAACCACCCGGTACAAGGTCAGCGCAGTCTCGGCAGAGCCGATTGGAGGCCGGCAGCGTCTCCGCAACGTGACCGGCTCCTCTCGGGGGCCTCGTTGATGCATCACACTCGCTGGCGTGAACTCTGTTGAGTTACTTAAAGGGCTTTGGTAATGCAGCCTGTGAGCACCGTCGGCTTTTCAGATAATAAATGCTTCATATTTTGCAGGCTGGTTTCACACGCCTTCCACAATCCCGGTGACCTTTTTTGTTTATGATTGTCTGACTGCCTCGCCGTTAAGTCCGATAAGGTATTGCTGAAACGATACCGACAAACCCCTATTGATCCGATGGGCACGACCGCTTATTCAAAAGGAAGCAAACAGACAAAGCAAAAACAAACAACTTGGGGGCGAATTACATTAAATCCCGGGGAAAAGTACAGGCAAGAGAAACAGGAATTAAATCACTCCGAGAGGGAGCGAGGGAAAAAAGAAGAAGAAGAAAAAAGAAGCCGCTGTCCAATTTCTGCTCTCGCCGAGCACGGCTGCTCATAATTCGAGCCGCGGCGAGGCCTGATAAATCTTACATTATCGATATGATCTTCAGGCTCTCAGGCAGGGTGTACGTTATCACAAGTGACATGCTCAATCCTTCCCAGATTAGATTCCCAAACCAGCCCACATCCCCGGCTGACAACGGCTTTCAGGGGCCCGAAATGAATCAGCGACGCCTCCTCAAACGGAGCACACCTGAACCAGAGTGACATCGCTCAGAAGTGATAGAGCTCCTGCCGGTCCATCTCTCCCTCCCTCTCTCTCTCTCTCCCTTCCACAGACCTGAGGCCATTCATAAATACCGCAGTGATATACCCACTCTCCCATCACAAGCAGGGAGCCACGACATATATCACCGCTTTTCTCATCCAGTCCAACAAGGTTAGTCTTTTTTTTTTGTCGGTGTGTGTGTGTGTGTGTGTGTCTGTTCTTTAGCTCCGAGCTAAAAGAGGAATATGGCGGTTTGCCTAATAGATAAGATAACTGGAGAGGAAGAAGAAAAACTCATGAAACCCCAAATAACCTACACAGAATATTGTAGAATGCTGGCGAAGCAGTTCACATACATCACAAACCTTCTCCATCTACGATGAGCCCGTAGATGTGTAGCTTTCTCTGTAATTGCTTGAAAGAAAATGATCCACCATTTGCTACCTCTACATTGTTAGACATCTTTCTCTGCATCCCCGTCTCTTGCTACATCACATTCCCCACACAATTAAACTGCACTCTCAGTCACGTTTAGAGGCAGAGATATTTCCTCTCCGGGTTACGGTCGTATTTTTTAACAGTTTGAAACATGGGATTCATTTTGTAAATTGAACAGCAAAACAAAAAAACACTACAAAGTCACTTCGTTAGGTTTTGGCAACACAACTACTTGGTTAGCTTTAGTAAAAATAGCTTCATGGTTTGGCTTAAAAGGACTATGAAAGTGAAAAATGCAACAAAACTACTTGATTCACACTGAGCATGGACAGCAGCCTCCGGAGTGAAAGTGTTTTTTGAGGCTTCCTCCTCCTCCTCCTCCTGCAGACTTCCACAGATTAATCCAACACATTTCCCCATCGAAAAATAATTTACGACGCAGTCTGGTTGTACGGGAACGTCATTTCTTCCGGAGACAGTGCTGCTCTGTGATGTTTACTGCATTCCAGCACTTATTGCTGTGATGAAGTGTGTTTGGCGGTGGACTCCGTTTCCTACAATCTATTTCTACTCCGGTCAGTAATTTCCTCTCTTTGACAGGATCAACTTGTTGCTTTGAATGGAAGTTCCCGTTAACAACTTGTGGAACACGCTGCGGACGTGTTTACTCTAAACTGTTTTATTTATTTAGCATTACGCTCCGTTTCTTCTGCCGACTGCTGACAATCTCTGCGATGGATTGCAAAATAAAAGCTTATGGAATGTACCACGACATGAATAAAAAATGCCCGTACATTAATCACATATTTCAGGGTGGACTTTGCCTTTAAGACCACCGCGGTGACACAATGATTTCTGATACCATATGATTAATAACATCTTGGTCTGCGACACTTTAAACACTCAGTAGTCCTTGTGCAACATAATGAGGGAGAAACTGGACGACAGGGGTGCTCACCTGTCACTGTAAGCAGTGGGGGTGGTGGGCTGGGCAAATCTGTATGCTGCATAGCCGCCCTGTAAAAAAAACAAAAAACCCAGTGTTAATCAATGATTAAGCTCAGAAAGGTTAGATCTCAGAGACACACGGAAACAACAACACGGACATATAGAGCTTTAAATGGCCTTAATAGGTAAATGTCACTGCACAGCGTTTTGATCATCTGCCCACGCTCCCCACCTGCAGGGTCCCATCCAGACACCAGAGGGTGCTGTTTGATGTATGGTGGCAACGGGGGGGATGAATGATGCTCCCGAGAGGCAGCTTATTTTCGGGGGGTTGCGAGCCCATTATCACACTACAGGCTCATCCGAACGTGAGGCCACGTTGAGCCAACTCCAAATTCAGCCCCTTCTTTGTTTTTAGAGTGAGGAGATTTTAGACTGCTGCTACATTATTGAAGAGAGCCTTTTGTTTTCCCTTTACACGACCCCCCCTGGCTCGCAAATGAAGTAAGAAGGCAGAAGACGGCCGGACCGTTGGCGAGTCAGAACCGCCGTATTCATTTGCCAGAGTGGGGAAGGAATTAAAGACCTCATTGTGGAGTGCCGCTATTACTCTCTTTGAAAAATGAAGCTGTTCTCCCACTGTTTTTCTATTAGTGCCAGTGGAGTGTGTGCCCGTCTGCGTCCATACCGTGGATAGGTGGCTTTTAATAATGCATGTTTTCATTCAGAGAGTGATGCAGAGAGGCAACGGTTGCACGTGGTGAAATCAGGTCAGGGGCCACAGCTATTGAGAATCACGCTCCCCCCCCCCTCCAATTCCCGCATCAAGGTTTCTTCGGCGCGGAGGCAGGAAGTCACAGCACTTGAGGCGGATGACTTCCTGTGGGACAGCCGTGCCTCGGGACCGCACTGATTACAGCAACAGCCCGAACAAACACAGGCCGATAAATCACTCTCCCACGTTGTCAAATCCTGCACACAACGGTGCGGCACATTTGTTATTTTGTCGTGCCGAGTGTGTGCTTGTGCATTCATGTGTGTGTGTGCGCTCGTTTCCAGGTGGAGATGCACGCATGCGTATGTACCAGCACATGCAATGTATGTAGAATATATGTATATGTGAATGCATCCAGTTTCCTGGTTTTCTGCCAATGTACGAGCAGGAACATCTATTTAAAAAAAGAGGCTTCGACGCTTCAGCCGGCTGGTTTTGACAGCGAGGCGGCGTCCAATGAAGGATTGTTGAGGACACTGAGGGCTGAGGGACGGCTTCCTCTCGGTCACTCGAGACCTTCACGCACACTCAGCCGGTCTGAAGCAGTGCAGCGGCCGGTGCCATGACTAATGGTGGTAAAGCACTAGGGGGGGTTGGCGGCTATGACGGGTTGAGTGATGGAGCGACCTGGCCACGCCTCGGTCAAGGGACATCGGGGGCGCAGGACTTAGCTGGAGGTGGCTGAACGTGTGTGAACAATATCTCTCGGAGCACTGCCCGGGTCTCGTCTACGGCGGTGGATGTCGCTACAATAAGAAAAACTGTGAAATACTGTCCTATCATGCGGGCTGGTGTGTAAGTCATACATCACCGGGTTTCGGCGTTTTCGCTCCCAGACACCGGTCGTCGGGGAGAAAGTGAGAGGCAACTGTCACTGCTGCTGCTGCTGCTGTCATCTCGCTATCTCAGCAGACAGGAGAAAAAAAATCAGCAGAATCAAAGGGACAAATTACATCCCCCCTACCACCACCGCCGCAAATGTTTGGACTTATGTCAAAGTGGGGCAGCGTGGTAATTTCAGCATTATCTCCACGGCGTCCATGCTTTTCTCTGTCATGGGCGACGTGCGGCAGGGCCAACTCCTGATATGACCCTGCCTGCACGGACAGCTCCAGAGGGACGGCTAATCCCTTTATCTGCTGCCGCTCCTCTTATCTCCCACATGGCGATGGCTGGGAGGAACCAGCTCCGCTCGGGCCTGCACAAACCCCCCTGGGGGGGGGGGGGGTATCCCCGGCCAAACCCTCTGAGTGTACACAGACACAAAAAACAGGAGGAAGGAGGTGGCGAGAAGCGGAGGAGGCGCAGCAGAAGACAAATCTAAAGTAAGAAAATGACCTAACTTGACACGGGACATTGAGCCCGGGTCTGCCTCTCTGCCAAAGTCTGAGATCACAGGAAGAGAGAACAGAGAGAGGAGGGAGGAGCTGAGGGGGTTTTAAATTTTGTTGTTGGGTTTCTTGGCACAGCAGACAGAGGCCTAATCGACGCCGGCTTGGCAGCGAGGGCTGAGAGAACGCCGGGGGCTGAGGAGATCACGTTTTTGTCTCCGGGGCTGGGCTCTGCTTTACTTCTGTTTCATCTGAGCAGGCGAGAGGAAAAGCCAACTGTACTCACATAGATCTCTGCACCGTAGAAGCCATCTTGGTACACCACCCTGTGAAAGAGGAGGACAGCAAAGCGGTTAGGTGTATTTGGTGTACGTGCCGCCCCGTACTGAATCTCAGCCCTTTGACGCTCTTCCTATTTCGCCCATTTGAGGGTCCGCCGGGGTCAGCTCTTAGCAGCTTCAGTGTACTGCACCACAAATAATGAATGACACATTAAAGTGAAAAGTGCAACCATTTCACATCCCCGTGCAATTTTCTGCTCTGGTAAAAAATATTGTTTGTCTTTCCAGTTGCTACCGGTGTGTCAGGAGGGCTGGAGGTGGAGAGGGAGAGGAGGGGGGAGGACAAAAGAAGGCAGCGATGGAGCTCCATCACATGACTCCGCTATATAAATCAACCAGCTGCCATCGGTAGCAAAGGGCCCCGGAGTGGAAGGGAGGGGGGGGATGTGGGATTTCCAGGCCCGGCTTCAGCAGCGAGTCTCTCTGCAGTAAGACGAATCCCGATCTAATCACAGATAGACAGCTATACCGGGCCCTCGGTCGGCCTCCGTCAGACCTCTCCCACGGCCGCACAGACCGCTGCTGATAAGAGGCGAGCGCGAGGCAGGGCTGCACAAAGCCGGAGATCAGCATGGACCCTGGTCACAGTCCAGTGAGATCTGCCCAGTAATACGCTTTCTCAGCTCTCTACAGCTCTCCCTGTGGCTTTGTTAGTTCCTCCTTTGTCAATAGACAATGTACAAATATATAGGAGTTAGAGCATGTACACGCCTCGATACCAACAATGATTCAGCTCCCCAGAGGCAGAACAGCACAGTGAATGCACTGATGACTGGTATTATCATCTTAAACAAACTGCGTTGATGTGTTGACTATAAATGTTCTAATATTATATAAAACTAGGACAAAATAATAAACAGTATTGTGACACTGTTCTTTAGGCACAATCACATCAATCGTCTCCATAACTGGCCCTCGGATAAGTCCCGCCCTTCAAACACAGACCGGCCAATCGAAGCGGTCCGACTGCGATCCGGCTCTGCTCTGTAGACTCTCACGCTATCATTTCTTTCGATTTAGATAAACGATTCTGAAACTGTGGAGCTAACATTAGCAGAGTACCTTAGCACATCCCTAACTAGCGTTAGCATAACTATTCTACGCTAGCATCTGAAGGTATACTGAATGTATACACATGCTGCTTTTTAATGATGTAACAGTGAATAAAGACCTACCTGGCTTCACAGGAACAGTGTTGTTCCTTAATTTCATTGTCGTCAGTCTGGATCTCCAGCTGATGTGTTGGTTCACTTTTACACTGAGATCTGTAGCTTTAGCTTCTCTCTTTATCTTTTCATCCTGGATACATCCTTTAAACACATATTATAAACCCTTCTGTCTGCTTCTCTCTGAAATTGCTTTTTTGTGTTTCCAAAAATTTGATAATATATATTCAGCGAGTGCGGTGAGTGACAGTGTGGGCTCTGTGGCCTGACAGCTTAGCAGGGGGCGGGGCTTAACGACGGGTCAATTGGAGCATGAAAGTCTTGTATACAGTCACACACACACACACACACACACACACACACACACTCATACTACAGCATGGACACAGTTAAAGTCAGGCTGTGTCTGATGTGCTCGCTGTTGTACAGGTTGGAGATTAAATACTCACGCTCCGTAAGCTGGGATGGGTGGTGGTGGAGGAGCCGTGCGGAACGTGTTGTACACAGCCCGCCCCCGACCTCGCAAGTGGGCACCCCTATAGGCCACCGTAGCGCCTGTGGCAGGGTAGGGAAACCCTGTTACTAAGGAAAGAAAACACACAAGAGAAGGAAAAAAAAAAAAAATGATGACTTTCAGAGAACATCCTCGACTTGGCATTGCTTACCTTATGACAGAATGCATTAGAGAGAGACGTGTGGCACTGCTTTACCTATGACAGAATGCATTATGGGGAAGACACGGAAACAATAGATTTAATCTTTTCTAGGTGCGCCTCATCGAGCACTCTCCCCTTTCCCAGCTCGCTGCTTTGTGCCGTACTCAGCAAGGATCCACATTTGCTGTACGCATCCTTTCCTGACGCCTGGCGAGGGGCAGCCTTGAAGCACAGGCAGGTAATGGATGCAATACCACTAGTTTCGCACCACAGCTTTCGCATAGTTTAGACACAATGGGCTAGCAGCGAGGAGAACAGGGGGGGGGGGGGGTAGAGGGCGTTTCTAGGTGTTGGCTACAGTCAAGCGGGAGGTGAACGTTGTTGAACAACCTGACTAGATGTTCCGAACTTCCCCCCCAGGGGAAAATGGAGCAGATGGGCTGGACAGCCAAGGCCCAAAACCACAGCGTGACCCCCATCTCCAAACCCATCTGGGACCATCTTTAGCCAATCACACAGCTACATGTGTAGCTGACGACATGAGAAAGGGGAGGGTTGCGAGTGAAAGGCTTCAGGGCGGGTGTAGCAAGGGGTAGGTGTGATGGTGCGGGGAAAACGTCCGCGGTCACAGATTAGAGGACGGCCGATGTGATCCTCAGCACTCTACTTAACCTTCAATCAGTCCAGTGGCTGTCTGATTACGAGCTGTGGAGGTGCATACAAACACACAGATCTCCAGACATGATTAAGTTGGCCTCCTCTTTTTGCAGCAATCGAAAGGCCTTCACGCCCCCCGCCCCTCACCCTCTCCCCCCCCCCCCCCCCAACAGTCTAGTCCATCACAACACAGTCATCCCTATTATCCGTCATCCCCCGGCAACGCCCCCTCATCTCCCTCCCCTCACCTTATTATTCTTTATTCATTTCAGATGACATGTTTCAGCCGAATTCATCAGACTGATTCGTTTCTTCAGTCTGAGATCACTCTGCGATGGGGAGCTCCATGGTGCTCAGTTGGGGGGGGGCTAATAATATGTATCCGATGTGTTTTACATGAACCCGCTGCCACCAAGGAGACAGCAGGCAGCCCCTCGCAATGCCAGATAAACTAGACCGCAATGAAAAATCCCTGGTAGCTCGTATATAATCGGTGGCGTGTATGTGTTTGCCTGGGGACTGACGGCGCGGCGTCACCGTGCCACATGCAGCATTAACCCCGCGGATGGACGAGGCCAGCGAACACCCTAATGAACGACGCTCACCCGGAGCCCCCGCTGCCTCAATAACGCTGACAGGGAGACAGATTAGTGGCGCTTTTAAAAACACGGAGAGACAGGTTGAATGTCTTCCGCCATTAACATCATGCTCCATTAGCGGGGTCCGCACACATATTCAAACTCTGCGTCTCATTTGGCCAGGTAACGCCCC